TCCAAAAAAATGAAACACGCTTCTCCAAAAAAATAAAAAAAAATTAAATAAAATAAAGAGCAACAAGCGGCAGACAGGCAATAAATTGTATGGAAACAAATCAATTACACACACACACACACACACACACATTCATACATTTACATAAGGCTCTTGCTCTTGCGCTCTCAGCTGCTGGCATCTGCGCTCTTTTTAATTGCAGCCCACACGCTGCTGCGGCATTCAGTTATTATTGGCTGCTGTTATTGTTGTTATTTCTGTTGTTTCATTCATTTTGGCAGACGGCCTGCTTGTTTGTACAATGTGTAGAGTCTCTTTCCCTCTCTTTCTATCGCGCACACGCACATCTGCTCTCGTACAATAATTCATTTTATTGATCAAATAAACATTTTGCTATACATTTCTATAAATTAAACACGACGCAGCAGGGCGTAACGGCAGCAGCAGCGGCGGCAGCGGCAGCAGCAGCAGCAGCAGCAGATCAATGCCGCGCTTTCTATTCATAAAAATTAATTGCACTTGTTGCTGTCTGCCTGGCCTGGCCGACTGTCTGCCAGCCTGCCTGCTATCTTTATCTTCAGGCCATGTGTTTAGCGGGGGCGTGCGTCAAACACACACACACATGAACACATATACCCCGAAAATTAACATAATTCACTTATAAAACCAATACGCACAATATCTATGCCAATAACAATAATTCATTAGCAGCCCCTCAATTTAAATGATTGGCGAATTTCACACCAAAGGCCATTAAAGAATCGCATTCCGAACTATGAAAACCGCTTGAAAACAACATTAAATAATAATCTATGTGTGTGTGTGTGTGTGTGTGTTTGATTATGTGTGTTTATACAGAGCAGATCATTGCAAACGCTTTAAATCTCTTTTCATATTTGTATAGCTTAATTGCTCTCTTCATTTTGATCTGTGTTGAGTTTTCACTTTAACTCTCTCTTTTGCCAGCATATCAAACTCTCCACATGTATACATGTATATAGATATAGTAGTGGGTGTTCTCCACTAACTCTCGCTCTTTTCCGCCTGTGTAAAATCGTCGAATGAAATTTTGAATTTTGTTAAAATATTATGTTATCAAGAGAATTTCTCTAATAAATATGCTTTTCCTTAATGGGAAGTAGTCCGGGTAGCAGTACAGTGGGTGCTGCTTCAATTAACCTCGCAGCATGCATATTGCCATACAGTTTGGGCAGCCGCATTTCCATTACGCCACAGACTTGGCGCTGATTTATGGTGCGCAGTGTATATGGTTGCATATTTTTTTATGAGACGCAGTCGGAAAACCAAAAACAAAAAAAAAAAGGAGAGAAGACAGTCAACATGGAATAACCACAGACATGGAGAGCTTCTGCTGGCGCAGTGGCAAACGTCTGCGTTTGCTGTTGCAAGCACCGTTATGCAATTGGCCTGCAATCTCTGTTGCTGTTGTTGTTGTTGTTGTTTTTGTTACCAACTGCGGCTTCATTAACATTTGCCTCTCGTTGTCGTTAACGGCCAAATATAGCGTAGTCGACGTCGACGTCGACGTCGTCGCTAGCCAACCTGAGATGTGGCTGCCATTCATAAAAAACTCTGTTTGCTTATACACCTCTTTTTCGTGTGTTCGTATTGGTATTGGTGTATTTGTGTGCGTGTGTGTGTGTGTGCGTGTGTGCCCACATAGGCAACACCCGCAACAACGCAGTTAGTTGTTGTTTTCATTCATGCCAAACAATTTTTGTTGACTTATTTTTTTTCTCTCTTGCTGTTACTTTTTTCTTCTTCTTTTATGAATGAAAATATACGTAACAAGCAACTCGGGAGTCTGTTAGTTCGTCCGTGACGGTTTTTTCTTTCATGAATGAAAAATTGCACAGAAATAAGCAACGCACACAGCAAGAAAACAAAATAGATATCTTTTGACGTGGCAAAGCACTCAATACATTAGCAGACACACATATACACTGCAGTAATATGATAGGGCCTGAAAGTCAGTCTTATAATAGAATTAATGGAGCTGTCTATATTTATAGTTAACGTTGGCTAAATCACAGTTACCGCTGCGTGGGGTTATATATAATGCAGCCAGGAAAAACTATAATGCGTTAACGGCAAAGTGTTAGATGGGAGGTTTAGATTACACGAGAAAAACTTGAGCAAAGTCAATCCAAATTGGTTTTGTCTATAATTATATATAAACGTATATCTATATAAATGTCTGCTTATAGATATACAACTTGTAATGGAAGCAAGTTAACAGTTCTTTATATAAATCTTAATAGAATCAATCAATCACACTTTACCTTACTTTAGAGGTAATTAAATCATGCATCATGCTTGACAAATTTAAAGTACTCTCTGCATAGGGTATATCAGTGAAAACGCATGCAACTGGCGAGTGGCTGCTGTTGAGTAAGTTTCATTTAATTCAGGTATTTGGGCTGTAATTGTAACCACGCAGCCATCAACCTGTTGTTGTAGTTGTTGTTGTTGTTGCTGTTGCTACTCTTGCGGTTGCTTTTGCCTTAATTGTTAGTCGCAATGCTGCTGCGGGCGTCGACGTCATTGAATACTCTCTAATCTAGTAGAGGCTACGCGCATACTACATACCTACGCTGATAGGGTTGTGTAGGTAATTTGATTCCCCTATGCATTTTAATTAAAAGTCAACAGCACTCGCACACACACACACACACACACACTTACACATGCACTCGCACTCATGGCGAGTTTCGCAAGCCGAGGCACTCTGCCATGCTTAGCGCGAAGCGTTGCCAACAATTTGTAATCGAGACGTAGTTGCATGCAAATATGCGATTGCATTGGCAACGCGCAACGCCCACAACAAAATGCAAAGTCAGGCGAATATAAAAAGCCACCAAGAAACAGAAGTAGAAGAAGAAGAACAAGCAGTAGTAGTAGCAGCAGAAGCCAGCTGAAACAGCAAATTGATTAGCTCTCTTTCGTAATTCTCATAATTGCTGCTTCTCATTACAACAACTTTGTAGAGCTGGTCGCAGCGTAAAAGTTAAGAAGAAGAACAACAACAATGTCAAGAAATGGTGCACAAAACGTATGAAAATTGTAGTCCATTGTGCAAAGGCAAACAACTAAATTAGCTGTCTCGCTCTAACACACGCTCTCTCTTTACCATCTACCCCCTTAACCCAATCACTGGAGCCCGCTGACTCTCCCTCTGTCTACCTCGCTCTCTCTCTCTCTCTTTCGCGCTGGCTAGCCCACTTTCTTACTCCATGGCGCGTTCATCGTATCGCTGAATTTAATGAATGAATTTTATTTTGTGCGCTTTTTCTCATGTTTTGCGGCACATGTACTATATATCTACATATAGGCTATAAAAGAATGAAAGGAAGGAAGTGCGCGAAGAAGCAGACAATGCCAACGTTTTCATTAATGCGACGTAGTCGCTGCCAAGAACACAAAAAACCAACAACAAGAGCGTCAATATAAAAACAAGAAAAAGAAAAAAAAAAAACAAAACAAAACTAAATTGTCCGTTTATCGAAGACCAAATACCCTAGTAGAGAATTCAATTAATATTTTGCAAAAGCAGCTGTGTAGAGTAGGAAAGAAGCGCCTTCAGATGAATGGATATGTTTTTCAGATCAGATCAAAGATAGATATTTGAGAATCATATTTCATACATTTTATACAATTTATTTCAAAGTGTTACACATTTAATGCTTTAGCTATAATACCGCCTGAAAGGGTATACAAAACAAATGAATGAGTGAACAAACGAGCGAGTGAATGAGCAAATGAATGAATGAGTAAATGTACGTATAAATGAAAACAAAAACAAAGCAACAACAACAACAACGGAAGTAATTCTTCCTGCATCGCACAGAGACATGCACGCATACAAGCACAAATATACACACACACACACACACACACACTCTCCCTCTCTCACACACACAGACACGCTGGCAGCTTGAAGAGCTTATTGCTTAATTTTCATTCATAAACACGTTGCGACCGCATTTTTAATGAAATCAGCAGCGCGAAGGCAGTAAAGGAAGTTGGCCCAAAATGTAAATAATAGATGTGCATAAGAACGGAAGTTGACCGGAACGTGCAGAACTAAAGAAGGGTAGCAACAATAAGAAATAAAATGAAGAAAAAAAACAACAGCAACAACAATAAAAATAAACAGCAATTATCCAATTTGTAATTTCAAGCTGCTATTTAGCCGTGCAGACACGAAATCTGACCAGTGTTGGCAACTGCCGCAACTAAAGGCAGTGTTAATAATCGCTGAAAATAGCTAAATTATGATATGAACAGGGTTGCATTTGTATATGTTATTGAAATGACAGCCAAAACACCCAAGTTTAGCCAGAAAATAGCTGAATTGACAGCACTAGCATTGACTCGACCGCTGACTGATCGCTTTTTGGTCTTGAAACGAACTCTTTAAGAGCGCTTCTCAGCCGTGACAACACGGCCCCTTGCCCCCTGACCTCACGCCTCGTGCCTGTGGCCACCTTTTGAACGTGAAGTGCTGACGTCAGCAATGTGTAGGTAGGTGTCACTTTGCTGGCAACTCGACCTTTTACCTTTTGCACCCGTTGTCGTATCGATGTCATTCTGTGCGTTTTATCTAATTAGCTTTGCATCTGCTATTTACGCATTTTCCCTCCGCCCACAATTTTTGAGAACTTTCCAGCTGCGTGGTGCGTCAGAATTTGAAATTCGATTATGGTTCAAGAGAATCGCTTTGATTGTCACATTTTTGTTATCATTTCCGTTAGCCAGAGGTATTTAACTTCAAACACGTGCACATAGATAGGACTTTAAATAAACATAAGCCAAATATAATAGACTAATAAAATCGAATTCATATTTGCTTAAAAGCTTTATATCGTGTTAAAGAAGCGGCTTAGTTTTAATTAAGTTCTGGGAGGTCTAGGCATAAATCATATCCCTTGCTTTTTCTTAGCACTCAATTGTATCTGTATCTTTTGCTTCTTTTACAGTATTCCGCCATACGCATTGGGCCCGTGGTCAAGCGTGATGTGATGAAGGCCTCAACGATGTTGGAGCATGAGGCGCAGTAAGTAAACGAAATAAACGAATATATATCCTTAACGATTTCGACTCGAAACCGGCAAGCGACAAGCGGGCCACATATCATTATTATATCAGCTCTGGCGACAACATTGTTGCCGCTGCATCAGCCCAGGCATTCGACAGGGAACAATTCAATTTTATTGCAGCTTAACTTTATTAACACGACTCTGCCCCCGCCCAGAACAAAAGACTTATAAACAACGGCAGCGGCTCTTTGAAGAGCGTCTGATATAGCCGACACGAACTGTGGCTGCCCGTCTGTGGTTGCTTTGGGTTAAGTGATTCATTTAGCGGCAATCAGAAAATGCACTTTCCAGCCAGGCTCTCGATGCTCATGATTTATTATTATGCGAGATACCCTTTAAATATTTGCTCTGACGGCGGCTTTATCTCATTAGAGTCGCTTTTGCCTCCTGACCGAGCGTTAAGTGGAGTGAAAATGAAATGCCAAATGCCTCTCTGTCTGTCTCCTTGACTGCTAATGAGCAGTTTCCAATTGCAGCGGCAACTATTTTCGTGCTCTGCTTGGCAGCAACAAAGCGACGCAGCTCAAATGCAGATACAGATACAAATGCAGATGTATCTGCAGATGCAGTTGCAGTTGCAGTTGTAGATACATTCACAATTCGTTCGGCCCACACAATTCTACGGGCACAACGCTCAAATTACTGCGTCACATGCAAAACAACAACAACGCAAACTTCAACAAACAACAAAAAAAACAAAAAAAAATAGAAATGTGCGGCTTTCAGATACATTTGTATCTGCATATCTACGCCCATGTAATAGACGTGGCGTTTCCGCTGCCGAACATATCCGGCCCTTGCGCATGCGCAGCCATTTGAGTTATTTATGCTCTGAAAGCACTCTGCTGTCCCCCTCTTCCCCTTCCAACCTCCCACCGCCTCTCTACGAATGCGAAGTGTGTTTCAAGTGCTTTCGTGTGTCGCTTGCGCGTATCTTGCCGATACAACACGCTCCCCCACAGTCTGGCGCAGGCGAACGGGCCGGCTATAAAAACTCAATATTACATTTTTACTATGTGTTGCCGTTTATTTATTGATGATTCTTACGCGCACGGAATTTTTAACCATAAAATTTTGCTTTTTACGCTGCAGGTGATCACGAAATTTGTTGTTGTTTTTTTTCTTATTCGTTATTACTTTTTTTTTTTGTTAATTTTTTAAGTGCCTTCCCAGCCTGACATCGTTGATGGCGACTCCGTCCTTGGCTGTCCACATTTATCTTGCCACAAGCATAATAAAAATCTTTAACTGTCTTTATGGTAACTCTTACACTGTGGGGCAACATAAAACTTTAGCCACCCAATGCGAAAGATCAAATAATGAGTGTTCATTTATTAATTATTATTTAAACTTAAATTAAAGTTTCAAAAAAGACCATATAAGTTAGGCTACACAATTACTGAGCGCCATTCACAAGGAATATGTAGTCAGTCTTAGCTCAATCATTATTCAATCATTCTAAATCCCTGTGTTTTATCTTTGTTGTATGACTGCTCTATCAATATGAAGAAATCAGAAAATAATTTTTATATTTTTTTTCGGTCTCTCAGTCACTTGAAATATTCCATCAATCATAGCTCAATCATTGCCTGCCTTTAACAGCAATACAATTAGTTAACAAATTTCTTGGGGGTTTGAATGGGATTTATTTAATGATTTACTCTATCAATATTATGAGAACTAGCAAAACTGATCCTCGGCACTTTCGGCTGTCAAATTCACCTAGAATATTCAGTCAATCAATTCAATCAATCATAGACTACTCATGGACCACTTAAACTATAATTAAAGTCGTACCTAATTATTTACTCTTAAAATTATGAGCACTGGCAAAGCTGATCCTCGCCTCTTTTTGTTTCCTCATTTACCTAGAATATTCCATCAATCACAGCTCAATCGTTGCCCATTAATTAATATTAAGAAATCTGGCAAAAGTGTTTCTCGTTTAGAATATTGTATCAATCACAGCTCAATTATTGTTCAATCTTTGTAAAACAAAGACTCTTGCATATAGCAAAGTTACCCGTAATTAAAACAGTTGCTTCATGAATTATTATTTTGAACTTTCGATGCCGAATGCCTTGCCAAAACATTTTCGAGCAACACAACAATTTGTAGACCCTTCCGGTCGCCAATGAGACGCCGCGTCGGCTGACTCCAAACGGTGGCACGTATCGACTTAATGCCAACTGTTTCCTGTCATTGATGTTGGCCAAGCTAAGCAAACAACGTCGTTGAAAAAGAAGAAGAATGGAGATGGAGAACCAGAGACATCGGCATCGGCATCGTCTCTATTCAATTATTGACGCTTCCTGGTTCTGGTGGTGGGGGCAGGGCTTAGCTTGCAACATGTGGAAATATAATTAGCCCAACTCGACACTCGACACAGGAAAACCCAAACACGTTGGATAGTTTCTGATTATGATTATGATGATGTTGATTATTATTATAATTGTAATGTAACACGATCATTTGTTATACATTTAATTGCACACAATTGCCGTGGCGTGTTCGTTCTCTAAAATACCAACTGCTCTTTGTCATTCCCGATCTATGCTTGGACGCCGTCAGATATGCAACAATCTTGGCATTCGATGTGAAAGTGGAGCGCGAGGCGCAGGAAATGGCCGATTCGCTGGGTGTCAAGATCTTTCAAGCGGACATTATCTATCATCTGTTCGACAAGTTCACCAGCTACCGCGAGGAGCTGAAGCAAAAGAAACGCGAAGAATTCCGCTCAATAGCCGTCTTTCCATGCAAACTAAAGGTGAGTTCAGATTAATCAGTTATTGTAAGCATATGTCTCTATTTAAGCATATATAAATCCGATGAGGATATTTACTCATTAAAGCTAGACAGACAGAGGTCCAGCCTTAGCTGAGTAAACGTAGACCATTATCTTCTAATAAAATATCTTCTTGATTATTGATTAAATTATATATCTGAGTATATGCCTTTAGCTAACCTTTCATATAACTCTTTTGGTCTCACATGATCCTCTTATTTTAGTTAATAGCTGGAGTAGCACGATAGCTGTGCTGTACGGCACGCTGAGCTCGAAGCTTAGGGTTCGAACCCCCGTGAAGGCAAAATATATGTGAATATATACTTTGAGCTGCTCTGTCATATAGCTTCTTTGAGCTCACAGGATCATTTAGCTAATGAATAGTTGTTAAAGTAATGCAATGGCTTTAAGATGACACTTTGAGCACTAAATTTGAGGTATAAAGGAAAATGAACACTGAGTGCTCTTGTGATAATTTAGTTAATTAAGTTGAGTAAGAAGCGATCGAGTCAGTGATCAGTTATGTGATCAGTTACTTAATAAAGAGCCTCACGTTTAGCAGGAAGTTGAGGGTTCGAACCCAAGTCAAGAAAATATGTATGCACTTAGAGCTACTAAGTCAAGCAAATTACCTGAGCCCATCTGCTTAATTTAATTTAGTATGCCCGCATAGGGTATTTAATCTTCGGCACAGCTTGTAATATTTACATGCATTATTTTTTTTTATTTTTCGTGAGCCTTGATCGAAACATAATTACGCCAAAAGCTACAGGTGTAAAATGCAATCAGCTCGCTTTGTGGTTGACTGCAAATGCAGGTCTCCAGCTAGGCCAGCTCCGGCCCGTTGTGGCTAATGATGCGTGCGCTCTGCTGCCCAAGAAACGCCACTCGGCGAGCTGCGAGCGAGCGATTAAGGCCTGTCCGAGAGACGCTTGCATCACGTCCACACTTCCTGCTCAAATAATGTTAAAATAGCATATTTGATTTATAGCTAATCATTAGGTTATAGTCGCAGTCAACGATTGTTGGCTGGCTTGTCGACGACCCTAGCGCTCGCGTATTAAAACAGAGTTGGCCATTCTAGCCACCGTCTCGTCTCCCACTGTGCTGTTAATTGGGCACACAGCTGTGGCCAGTTGCCAGTTGGCAGTTGCCAGTTGGCAGTCGTGGCTCACCTTGTTGCTGGCTGCTTAGATGCAGCCCCAACAATGACGTTGTTTAGTTAAGTTATTACCTTGCCTCTTACCTTCTCATATCAGCTCAGAGTGGCCCTTTTAAATGCCAGCTGCAGGCGCAATATCATTGGCAACGCTCTTAAAAAAAACCGAAGGCACACAAATTGCATTTATCTTTAGAAACGATTAAAAATAAGCTTGGCATAGATAATCTCAATATTCGATTTAATATTAATAATCCGATTCTTTTTAACTCAAAAGAGATTTTGATTATAATCTGAGTCTGTTCTAATTATCTTTTTTCCTACATCATATATATGATCAAAATGAATTAACTTAAGGAAAAGAAAATACCATCTGTATATTAGATCTTTTACTCAAAAAAATATATTAATTATTATTTCAAATATACACTTTGACTGAATTTCATCAGAGATACAAATAGATGATATGATCTCTATTCAGATATTCTTATATTTTAAGCCTTGGATACAGGGAACATGATTTTATTTTGATATCTACCTGGAAAAAAGAGTTCGTTTGATCAACACCAAGGTCTAATTTTGCATTTAATCTCATGAAAGTTTAAATTTATTAGGCTCAAGAAATAGAAATGACGACATAAAATATAATCTTATATCTTTTTCTTTCAATGGAAGATTTGAACGTGTCATAAATGATCGTCATAAATGATCTTATTATGATAACCCATATTTAGAAAGTCCCAAATTCCTTTTCCTTCAAAATACCATTTAAGCATAAGTACTTCGGATAATTATCAAACATCGATCTAATCTCGGTTTTCTATCCTTTCACAGATACTGCCACAATTTATATTCAACAGTCGCGATCCGATCATCATAGGCGTTATGGTTGAGAATGGCATAGTTAAGGTGGGCACACCGATCTGCGTGCCGAGCAAAGAGGTGAGTGATTAGTGAAGTAGACGAAGTAAAAGACGAAGACGAAGTGTCCGAGCCACGCAAATATTTAACTATTCTGCGAGAGCACCACAACAGGCACACTCAATGGGCAGGCATTGTAGATCCATCCAGGGTCGGTTCTAACAATTGAGACTTGCGAGCGGCGTGCACAATGAACATCCTTGTCTTGAACGGGCCTCTTCAAAATCGTGTCAAGTATCTAGATACAAAATGTGCGTGTGCGTGTATCTGTGTGTGTGTGTGTGTGTGTGTGTGCACGTAAGGGCCCATCTCGCAGTTTATGAACTGCGTCATTCGAATTGCTGCTTTTGGATTGGTTTGTATCCAACTCCGGGCGCTTCTTCCATTGTTGACACAGGTGCTCGTTGTGTCTGCTACACTTGGTATTTATTGTTTATTTGCGAATGCTCTCGTGATGCAATTGCGTTTTAGAACACCGACACACATAATGTATGCAGACAGACATATTTACACACACTCGCACACACACAGACACGAAAACTTGGTGCTGGCGCAGCCAACTTAATGTGCTGATTTAACAGCTGATTCGGGCCTGAGAAAGCAACCACTTTTATGATTATCATCGCATAAATCAAAATGCGTCTCGTTTGTTTGAAGATTAGAGTGAATTGCGAACGAGAGCTTCAATTAATGTCCTTCCGTTGCACACAAAGCTTGGGGAGGTGGGGACAGACGACTGCAACTGGCATTCAATTTATGCGAAGACATGTCCTGTTTCCCGTCGTCAGCCCGAGAGACAACAATAACTGTTTCCTCTTGCCACAATCACAACAAAAAAAAAAAAAAATTAAAAAAAAAAAAAAAAAAACCAACAGCAACAACTTGAATTGGCTACTGCGGCAACAACTGCGATCTTTTTTGCAAAAGGGTTCGCCCCGTTTCGTACAATCTGCTTGACTCCGCTGCCAGGGGATCCGCAGCAGCGCAGCCGGATCGCTTGGTCCCCCGGCTGCTTGGTCGGTCGGTCTGTCGGTCGGTTGTTCTGTTGGTCGGCGTGGCAATCTCTTAGTCTGGGCTGGTTGGCTTCATTGGCAATTATAACTTCCTCAATTATCCAGCAGAGCGCAGCTAAGCTGTGCGCTTCCCGTCATTCATCGTCATTCTTTTTAACATTTTCCTCCTTTTTTTTTTTTGCTTCAGCTCTTTCTAAAGTTAAATTTATACAGATTTTCTGTGCTGTTCTTGCTTGAATACTTTAATACTCTACGTTGTCATTTAAAAATTCATCCTTTAAATATATTCATAGCGCTAACAGACTGCTCGTTTTGCACAGCTATCGATAACACTATCGATACTATTATCGATTGGTTAGTTTATCTGCTATTATCAAAAGCTAGCGCATATATTGTAAAGATCGATTTTTAACGATTTCCGGCTGGCTTGATGACCGATTATTATCGATAGTGGTCGATAACTCTTATTGCAATTCTCGATTTAAACTCTTATCGATTGTCCCGATTATCGATAACTTTGCTGCACTACCCTAGAGAAACCACACTCAAAGTAAAAGCTGAACATTTTGAAACTCTATCAATATAAAAAGTTACCACATTTGTAGTTCATTTATCAAGTCGACTTAGGTACGTTGCGGCCTTCTGGGGGGATACGAGAACATGTGAGTCCCCAATCAACTCTACTTTAAATGTGCACGTTATTTCTGCCAAAGAATGCCGAGTGTATAGGTTGTCGTTGTTGTTTTTGTCGCCAATGCTGCCAGTTGTTGTAGTTGTTGTTGTGGAATTTTTTTTCCTTTGCCTCGCGATTTCCGCCAACTCTGCTGTTGGACTTGAGGCAGGGGTCCAACAACTTCCTTTGGAACGGCTGCTGCTGATGCCTCTGGAGCTGGCTTTTGCGCGTGCGTGTCAGCCGTTCGGTGTTTTGCCTGCCCAACTGGCTGCCAGATGGCCAGAGAGCAGGCCTTGGCCCTGCCATTGATTGCCTTTATTAATTATCTAATTAAATCTGTAATGGCAAAGTGGCTCAGCCTCAGCCTCGCCCTGCCCTGCCTTGCCTCGAGTTGTTGTGGGCCCTTTTGTTTTTGAGCGCCGCGTAATTGTTTCCACCAAAACTTCCGTTCCCAAGCGGCATTTACACCAGCCCAGAAACCACTTCCAGTTCCCGTTTTGGTTTTTTTTTTTTTTTGCTGGTTTATTGATTGCTTCGATCGTTTGGTCAGCTGCCCGCCAGTGCGTGCTGTGCAACCCTTAACCTCGGGTCAATTGAGGCTCACAATGCGACAGCCAAGTGTCAAAGTGTGCAGCGTAATTTGAGCCGGACAACAACAACAGCTCCTTGGGGCTAATGAGGGTAAATCTCATGCATAATTTGAAGGTCCTTGGCTTGAACTAAGGGTTGTACGAATTGCATATTGATTACATTACGCTTTGATTTTTGCAGAGAACTAAAAACAAGGCTGCAAATGCAAGGTTCACGTTTCGCAGCAACTGCCTGAACCTGGTTTTCTGCTTGCTTGAATCTAACTTCTGGTTCAAACTTGGAAATCTCTTTCAACCAGTTCATTTTTTTTTTTTTTAATTTTTAACTGCGCGCTTGTCCACCGGAAATATTGCAAGTCGTCAATATTTTCATATGCAAAAGGCGCGCTACATTTGATATCTAGCCAAAATTGACAACTTTCAAATATGGTTGGATAATTGTAAAAGTTGGGGCCAAAGCTATTTGAGTTTTGTAGCTGAGTCTCTCTTTGAATATATTTTCATAATAAAACCCAAGCTTTTTTTTTAAGGAAACACAAAATTCAGTTCAGAGTTAAAATAAGTTGTTTAATTGTGCAGCCGGATTTGTTTAGGGCTTAGGTTAATAGTAAAAAATTAATTGGAATTCAAGCTTCGAACTGGCTTAAAATCAGTTTGCAGCCTTGCTACAACATTTATAAACAAAATATATAATCGAACCTTAAATTAAATATATTTTTAATGAACGCTAACAAACGGGCTGATCTCAGAGACAATTAGAAGCCGAGATAAATAAATGAAACGCTTACTTTGCTAAGTCATAGTTTACATGCAGCCCAAATACAGTGTATTTGTTAGTCGAGTACACCCTGCTAAAGCATTTTTGCTTGTTTCTCTCATTTTCTTTTGCCTGCCTGCATTTAAAGGCCGAACCAAACAGCGAACGGAAGTTGGAGGCGTTGCTCAGCGCCAAATCCGACAAACACTCGACATATGGTGTGTGCGCTTGCGTGTGTGTATGCATATATATATATATGTGTGTGTGTGTGTGTGTGTGCCTAGCTGTCCGCATTAAAAAGTTAAATAGTCTGGTTGGCTTTTTAGCCGCGTTTATTAAAGCGCAACAGTCCAAAAGCACGAAGAAAGCGAAATTCAGCTATGTAAATGCAAACGTGTTGCAGATTCATTGATCTACGTATGCAGATAAATATATTTATATATACTATATATCATACATATATATATAAATCGCTGTAGGACGTTTGGATACCCTCTTGAAAAAGCTTTTAGAGGGTATGTTTAATATGTCCATGAATAGTTCAGAAAATAGTTACAAGCAATCAAAGTTGCAAAGCTAATGGATATTCGTGGATTTGAACCAGCAACTTTCTTCTCGCATTTGTAATGCAGCTAAGACAATACAAAATATTCGTGGATTTGAACTAGCAACTTTCCTATCGCTTCTGTAATTCAGCTCAGGCACTTCGAAATAGTCGTGGGTTTGAACCAGCGACGTTGAGCTTGAAATAATCATGTATTTTAATGCCTTCTAATACTTATGCTACTCCAGCTGTTATTGTAAAAACTATTATGAGTGGAAAGCTCTAGGTCTATAGGTACTACAGAGTATCCTCTAGTCAGTCATTTTCATACGTTTGCCTTTAGTTTGGTGCTACTCTTTGTTGCTGCTGCTGCTGATGGTTGTTACCCGTCGAGCGGGCTCCTGTCCGGGCTACTACTCTGGCTACTCGTTTTTCTCCAGTTGTTTTTGGTTGGGAGATCGAACCAGCGATCGATATCTTTAATAATTTCATTCATGCCGCGAGTCGGCGCTGATATGCACCGGAAATGAAAGCTTATTCAACATGCTGCTGCTGCTGCTGGTTTTGTTTTGTTTTGTTTTCTTTTTTTTTTCTCTTTTATTTTTCAGTTTTCTGTTAATTAAATGCCTCGGGATCTTTGTGGGTTGATTACTTTGTGTAGTAGCCGTTATCCCTTTGCCAACGCTGGCAGCTGATCGTGTTTAATTTATGGACTGTAAAATGCAAGTCGCCCCTTTATAGCGGAAATCGTAGTGCTTAATGCATGTGCCGTCGCATTACGAGCAAAGATTTTCAATTGTTAAGCCTAAATGGACGTACAACTTCCGTTTGTCGCCTTTGGCAAATTTGTAGAGCAACGCGAAGTCGTTGCGATGCACAATTCAATACGACTACCTATTTTTTCCTATTTGAAATGTCGTGTATAGAATTTCATCACGAACTATAATTCAATTATAGAAAAGTATTCAATTTTGACTGCAAAATCGAATTCGTGCTAATTTTGGATTTCTTGATAAAAGTGACTAGTTCCTTTTGGATGATTTAAGAGCGCAATGCATCATTATCAGGCAGACGGGACTTAAGGCATTTGGCAGTCTTTCAACTTTAAATACAATATATTTATTAGCTGAGCACATAAGCTGCCCAATATAAAGAATTGTTTATGTAAGGGTATCACAAGGCGACCAACCAACCACTTTTATCAATGGGCAACTGCGTCATATCTTGGCTTGGGGTACTGCGCTGCGAAGTATACGAAACAAATGCGATACGTGTGCGACAAAGAAGTACTCTGAGCATTACGACAACAATGGAAGTGACAACAACAACAACGAGAACGAACAACTATAAAGCGCTAGAAACAGCGTTAAGAGTCGGAACAAGTAATTAAATGGAAAATATGTTCCAGCTGAGGCGCTGCGGAAGCAGATTGCAGTCAAAGGCA